AAAACAAAAGAAAAAAATCACTCTGCCATAGGAAGTGCAAAATTTTTATTCTCTTGGACTGGCATTGCCTTAAGATAAAGATGGAAACAGCAAAGGTCAGAGAATAACATAAAAAATAGTAAAAAAACTCCTTGGAATACAGTTAACACATTTTACTCCTTGTGTAATAAGAAATTTCTCAATAAACATTTATGTACACATTGGGCGACACTCAACTATGAGTTCCTCTCCTTTTACCTGTTAATCAAAGTTTTGAGTATTTCATTCCATTGCCCGCTACGTTCCTATTGATCAGAGAAGTACAACAATAGTACACTGAGCTAATGATGCGAGAAGCTAATTCTTCTCCATGAAGAAGAATGTAGCATCAGTATCAGTATCAGTATCAATATCAATATCAGGAGGAAGATGCCTGAATAACCTATGTTATGCTGATGATACAACCTTGCTGGCTGAAAATGAGGCAGACTTCAAACACTTGCTGCAGAAGGTTAAACCCTGCAGACTTCAATATGCATTTCATCTCAATGTCAAGCAAGTAAATATCCTTGCCACTGGACCTATAGACAACATCATGATATATTAGAAAAAAAGACTGAAACTGTCAATGACTTCATCTTAATTAGATCCATAATCCATACACTGGATACTAGCAGACAGGAGACCATATTGTACTGGGAAAATCTGCAGTCAGCCATCTCTCTAAATGACTGAAGAGCAATGATGTCAATTTCAGGATTAAGGCATGTCTAATTCACGTTATGGTCTTTTTAGTCACTTGGGATACATCTTGGGACAATGGGAAGTCACTTGGGACAATGAATAAAGATGAAATAATAATAACTGATGTCTTTGAACTGTGGTATTGGGAAGAATATGGACTATCCCATGAACTGTCAAAAGAACAATGAGATATGTCTTGGAGAAGGTGCACCCAGAGTACTCCTCAGAGGCAAAGATTATGAAGCTTCATCTCACAGTCTCAGATACTTTGGACATATTGCTAAGAAAAGCTATTCCTTGGAGAGGGACATCATACTTGAAAAGGTGTAGGGACAGTGAAAGAGAGGAAAACACTCAAAGTATTGATACAATGACCACAGCAATGGGCTTTTTAATGGGTTAGAGATTGTAAGGATAGAACAGGATTCAGATCTGTTGTTCATAGGGTCACTATGAGATGTACTCATCTAGATGGCACCTAACAACAACAACAGCCCACAGGGAGATGTTTTTCAGGACAAAGATAGGCAATCTTCTCCCAAGCAATTCACAGCCTCAGAAACCCAACAGAGGGTCAGTTATGAGCTGTTTTCAACTCCGTGGCAATAAGATAAACACAGACATACACACACACAGAGAAAAGAGATTGTTTTGAAGAAATTATTGATAGAATTATAGATATCACAGGTAATTCTGTAAGGGCTCAGAGGGGAGTGAGGAGAGCCATGGACAAAGTCTCTATCTTCTTGAAGAACATGTACTCTGCCAGCAAGAGAATGCTGCCAGAGAAGTGGACTTTAAATGTGTTTCTGTTTATGTCTCAAAATAAAATTATGAATATATTATTAGACAATGAGGAAGGATAACACTTTTTATGGAGTGGAAAAGAAATTGCCCGAATTACATTCAAATGTTGGTGGAAGATAGAACCTGTAAATAATGAATCGGGATATCTGGCTCAGGAGATTTCTAAGCAAGATTATAAAGGAGTTTGCAAAGTTATTCTTGCTACATATAGTAAAATTCAAGGGGAAAGATACAGACTTAAAAATGAACTATGCAAAATGAAAACAGAACTAAAAATATTGGAAAATCCTTCTATACAAAGGAAGGACTCACATCTGAATTTTTATCAATCACACAGCCCCAAAGACTTATGTTAAGCCTCTAACAGATGGATTTAAACAACTCCTACAACTGAAAACTGACCAACTTAGACTGCAGAGGACAGAGAAAGAATAAAAGAATGACTATTGTCTGCCTCTTAAAAGTCTACGGACAGGAATCAGGTCAAAGAAACTACATCTGTTGTCATCCAAGATAAGAAAAGGAATATTCTTAGAGCAATTCAAAGTTAAGTAGACTCATGGAAGTAGCATGGGAAGCAGGGCCTTCTCCATTTCAAAGTGTAGGTCCACAGTTTCTTGGATCTCAAAGGGTAAGGCCTTAGGCTTGAAAGAATAGAATGCTTGCCAACTCAGTTTCAGAGTGTGGGGCTGCCATTAAGTTGTCCTAGGGGCTGGGGCTACCATTCAAAACTTAGGGGCAGAGCTGCCAAAGCCAAGGGGGAGAAGACCAGGGCTTACTAAGTCTGAGGAGGTGGTGTGGTCAAATAGATGGATTAGGAGAAAGGGACCATCCAAAGCCAGAGGAGCAGAGTTGCCATTCAAATTGGCCTCGGAGGTGTAGCTGAAGCGCAGGCAGGAGGAAAAATTCCCCACCTAAAATCCCAAAAGTATGACCCACATCCAGAATCTGAAGGGCAGGGCCACTTCCCATATGATCTTAGAAAAAAAGATAATTGCTTTTCAGCCTTGACAACTAAAGCAACTGTTCTACTGAATTTTGCGCTTGCTTGGTGCCTGTTATGCCTTCCCCCCACCCCCACTCCAATTTCTTCCACTTATAATGGAAGTCCTTCTTTATGCCTGTTCCATATCTTGTATTTTAGGCTTCACAGGTTCACAGGTTCACAAAGTGAAGAGGAATTTTGCCCCAGGATTGCAAATACATAAAAATGTCAACTATATTTGATGGGTCAGGAAATTAAATCGGGGGCTTGGAGTTTATTTAAAAGACTTTTTAGATGAGGTAAGGAGGTGAATGTATTTTAAAAGTATATGACAAGAACGTGTATTTCAGAGTGGGGGAAAACATGGAATTTTATAGACTGAATTACATCTTCCCAAAAATATGTGTTGTAAATTCCAACTTAATTATATGCAATTTCATTTAAGAATAGGTTGACTTTTAGCAATCCCAATACTGATACCAAATTCATCTTTCAAGGAGTTTGAAAGGGAAATTGTCAAATTTATTGGAAGAGGAAAGAGACTCCAACTAAGCAAAGCACTTTTGAAAAATAAAAATAAGTGGGAGGTTTAACACTACCTGACATCAAAACCTACTACACAGTGGCAGTAACCAAAATAGCATGGTACTCATCAATGAATAAAGAGACAGCCAAATACAGCCAAAAATGTACAATATGAAGAGGATAAAATCGATTAATGGGATCTTCTACAGATTAAATCCCTGTGCATATCAAAAACTTTTCCCAACAGAATGAAAAGAAAACCTACTGACTGGGAACAAACATTTGGTGATTGCCAACAAATGGCATATTACCATTTCAGACAAAAGTCTCATATCAAAAGTTTATACAATACTTCAGGACTTCCACATGAAAAAGACTAATAACACAACTAAAAATGGGCAGAAGACATGGAAAGACTTTTCACAGAGGAAGATACTCAGATGGCCAACAGACACATGAAGAAATGCTCAAAATCACTAGCAAGAATAGATGCAAATAAAAATCAAAATGAGATACCATCTCACTTTAGTAGCAGTGGCAAAGTTCAACAGGACAGCAAGTAATAAGTGTTGGAGAGGATGTAGCTAGATAGAAATTCTTATACTTGTTGCTGGGATTGTAAAAGAATGCAACCACTATGGAAGGCAGTTTTGTACTTCCTCTGAAAGCTGAACATAGAAATTCCATTTGGCCCACCTATTCCACTGCTTGTGATATATCCAGAGAGAATGAGAACTGAGGCACAAATGGAGACTTGTACATCAAGGTTCATAGCAGCATTATTCACCATCGTGACAATATGAGAAACAGCCCAAATGTACAACCACAATCAAATGGATTGAAAAATTATGGCACATTCACACAATGGAACACAATGCAGCATGCAGAAGCAATGATGTTTTAAATCACTGCCTAACTTTGAAGAGACTGGAGATCATTATGCTTAGTGAACTATTTCAGTCCCATAAGGACAAACACTGTATAAAACCAGTATTGTAACAGGTGTATGAGGATCTAAGGGACAGAGGGCAGGAGCAGAGGAGTGAGGATTGGTGGAGGGTGGGGGATGGCGGGTGGTTAATCACAGTATCACAATTTGATGGGTGGGTAAAGGAAATGCGAAAGATCCAGTGTGATAAACAATGTATAAGAACTTTGTAAGTAAATCAGTATAAAAAGAAATATTTCATTTAAATTAAAAACAAGGTTGTCTTTTCTGTTAATGAGACAAGATTAGAGCAATGTGTATCATGAGTTAATCTCTTTTGAGATATAGAGATTAAAGAGGTAGGAGAGAGAGACAGACAGACAGACACCTCTCCAAAGACATGCCAAAATATGTCCAGATTTCCATGGAACTAGAAGCTAAAGAATCAATTACCTTGCTCCAGAGCCTAAGGAGAAGAAAGTCTTCCCTTAGAACCAACCTGGCTCTAAATTCCATCTAAGGTATTTCTCTTATAGCACAACTAGATAACTAAAAAGAGCTCTGGTGGCAGTATTTCGTGCTTTCAAGTGATTGGAATCCACTAATGGCAAACATGGAGAAGGATGCAGTCTTTTACCATTAAATTGTACAATTGGATGTGGAAGGAGGGTTTCTGTGAGTCAGAGCTTGCTCACTCACTACTGCTGAGTGAGGTGACTAAACCAGCACTCTTCTGAAATGTTACAAGGGTTACTTAAGGTTAACAGCCCTTTGTAGGCACCATCCTCATCATTATCAGAGGGCTGAGAACTCAAGCAATCTGGCTTCACAGCTTCTGCTTCATTGTCTAAGGTAATAGAATCAAATCAGAATAGTAATTCTGTGTCCTTGGAAGCCTTGAAGGCAAGTTAGGGAGGGTGAGGCTAGACTCCAGGAAAGGAATAAGGGAGGATTGGGGTCACCCTAGGGTGGGAAAAGTGGAGACCCTGAGCCCAGGGGCCACCTTCTTGGGGGAGCTCACTGGCTGGTCACCTGGGCCTCAAATGAAATCGTTCAAGAGTGGAGTCAAGATTCTTGATGATCTCCCAGCACTCATCTGCACCCAGCCTGTCCTCCACCGAACTGTCTATCAGCTTCTCACAGCTATCCATTAGGGCCTTGAGCCTCTCTGGAAGCTAGAGGCAGTCTGGGAATAGCAGGAGGAGAGAACTCAGCATTCGTTACCATGGCAACACCTGAGTAACTAGAGACTCTGTCTCCTGGAAGCTCAACCATTGGCAGGACAATAGGATAGGCTTTGGAGTAGTGCCCTCCTGCTCCCACATTCTGGCCTCATCTACATCTTCCAGACAAGCATGTGTTTCTCTGGATGACCACGTGCAGGCGTTTGCCCCTCAGTGGGAGGCCTCTGCTCTAAGTGTACTCCAAAAAGCTGCACCGTAAATGATGGGCTGCACCTTATTATGCTGCCGAACTTTGCATGCTTTCTCTTTTCTTAACACACTGAGACAATCTTTCTCAAGTGGGTCCATGCACCTGGCGAATGTTAGGGGTTAAATTCGATCTCCTCAAAATATGTACTATAAATCCTAAACACTATACTTGTAAATGTAATCCCATTTTGGAGAAAGGCTTTTGTTTAGTTAAATGAGACTATATGCTTTTGTTATTGTTTTGCATCACCTGTTGTTGTGGAGTACCAAGGAGCTGGACCCAGCCCATAGCTGACCCCTCAGTGGGTATATTTGCAGGGGAAGGAGACTGCCCATCTTTGTGCCGCAGAGCTGCTGGTGGATAGGAACTGTGTGCTTTCAGGACTGCAGCGCAGCTTCTTACTACTAGGCTAAAAGAGCGCCCTAATCTAAGCAGGACCAACTCATAGCGTGTCCTCAAGTGGGTTTTCAGGGACTTTATATCAAATCATGACAGAGGAGACTGCCCATCTTTTTCATACAGAACAGCTGGTGGTTTCAAACCATGTGCTTTAGTGTTGGCAGCACAAATTCTTAGCACTAGGCCACCAGAGCTCATGTTATGTGCTATCTAGTCAACTACAACTCATTGTTGTTAGGCGCTACTGAGTAGAGTACTACTCATAGTGACCCTTGAACAACAGATCTGAACCCTGTCCTAGCTTGTGTCATCCTTATTATCTCTGAATCTCTGACATACTTGAGCCCAATGTTGCAGGCACTAAGTCAATCCATCTCATTGAAGGCTTTCTTCTCTTTTACTCTTTACCTTTACAAGCATGATGTCCCTTTCCAAGGAACAGCCCCCTAACAACATGCCCAAAGTACCATTCTTGCCTCTAAGGACTACTCTGGCTGCACTTCAACCCCAGATACATATATTTGTTCTTTGGAGTATTCATGGGATAGTCAGTAATCATCAGCAACCTGACAAACAAGATATCTGAACCTTGCCCCAACCTGGGCACCCCTTGACTTGTTGAGGGTTTTCCTGTCTCTCTCTGAACCTCCATCTTCCCAGTATGAAGTCTTTTTCCAAAGACTAGCCCCTCCTGACAACACAACCCAAGTATGTTTCACTATCCTTGCCTCTAAGGATCACTCTTGTTGCACTTCTTTCAACACACATTTGTTGCTGGGATATTCAGTTCTCCTCTCCAACACCATAACTCAAAGTATTGATTCTTATTTGTTATCCTTATTCATTTTCCAACTTTCAGATGCATAGGAAAAGCAATTGAAAAGACCATGGCTTAGATTAGGTGCACCTTAGTCTTAAAGCTGTTATCCTTGCTCTTTAGCACTTCAGGGAAATTCTTGACAGCATATTTTCCCATCCTTCTGTTTCAGGTTAATGGAGATACAGAATGAGCAAATTAGGATGACAGAGAAGAATGCATGAAGGAAGGGATAATACACACCATACGAAAATCAGCAAGGAACTTAGGAATAAAAACAGGAGAGAAGAATTTTACACCAGCGCAAACAGAGAATGCTTCACCTTCTAAAATATAAGAAAATGAACATGTTTATTACTACACTCACTTGTGGTATTTCTGTTATAGCAACAGTGACAGACTAAGACAGGGGTTTGTATGTCTGCACTGCTTGATAAATTACCATACCTCTAGAAGGCTCTGGTGACCAAGTGGTAAAAAGCTGCACTGCAATTCCAAAGGAATGTAGTTTGAATCTTCCATCTGCAATTTCCTTCTATACAATTAACTGCCTCTGAAAACTCACCAGAGTCAGCTGTGGGTTGTTTCTGACTCAAAGGCACACAACAACATTCAACATTAGACTGTTCTTTTATTCCTAAAGGCCATTCTCAAGAGAGGATGAAAAATAGTTAATCCATTTCTGTTGTGAAATGTTGGAGAGGAAGGGAAGATGGCCTAAGTTCCAGATAAGCGCAAGCCTCCCAACGGCCTTTAATGCAGGGTAGAGAAAGCTCTCCTGTGTTTGGCTGTACTGGCTTGAGAAAGCTGGACACCTGGGAAGACGACTGCCGTGTCTGTTGAGCTGGGAGTGGTACACACAAGGCTGAGGTTCTCCTAACCAATCCACATGTCCCATATCTGTAAGCCCACCCTAACCTGCCTTCTTGTGTATATAAGTGCAGTGCAGTCCCAATAAAATTGAGCTGAATTGACTCTCTGATCCTCTCCCGGAGTGGTATATCTCTGTGGTGCTTACTCCCATCAGGGTGTTGCTGTAGGTTGTCAGCAAACAGATTGTAACACATTTCATACTAATATAAGGACATAATGAGGCCTGGGCTTTTAGATCAATGCCATAATAAAAGAACAGAAAACCTGATGACTTGATTACATTGCCCTTTTACATAGGCAGTTCTAGGGGAAAACTGAAGAGATGACAAAAGCCTATTTTCTTATTTAGGAACCTGGATAGTTCCAGCAGTTTCATAGGTTTCTAACTTAAAGGTTGGTGGTTTGAACTCACCAAAGTGTTAAAGAGCAAGGATATTAATTTAAAAACCAAGGTGAACTTGATCCAACTCATAGTCTTTTCAATTATTTTCTATGCATCTGAAAGCTAAGGCAATGAGTAAGGATGACAGAAGAAGACTTAACGCCTTTGAACTGAATATTTCATGGCCTTGCAAAAGAACAAGTCTGTTTTGGAGCAAATGTAACAAGGAAGTTCCTTAGAGGTAAGGATGGTGAAACGTGGTCTCACTTTGGGCAGGTTGTTAGGAAGGTCCAGTGTTTGGAGGGAAACATAATGCAAAGAAAGGTATAAGGTCAGTGAAAGAGAGGAAGACCCTCAAGGAGATAGACTGACACAGTGATATTAACAATGGGCATGAATATAGTAGAAATAGGATGGTACAGGATAGGCAAAGTTCCTACCTTATTGTTCATAGGGTAGCTATGAGAGGTAGTAGACTCAATAGCACATAAAAACAACAACATAAGTTCCTCCCAGAAGAAAGGCCTCATGATTAGATTCCCTACACATGACATCCAAGAGAATCCTATGGAGTAATTCTATTGTGTAACACAAGGGTCTCCATGAGTTGAGGGTCTGAGTGGATGCCAGCTGAGAACAACATTCCTTGCAATGTAAATATTATAAAGTAAGATGAGAAATTTTTTTAGCTGTGTCTTTGAGTGTAGAATTAATGGATTCTTTTTAGTTTTTACATTTTCTACTAGTTAATTTTAAAAATCTGAATACAAATTTGAACAAATTCTTTCAATTTCCCCTACCCCTTCACCCATCAAATTGTACAATCCTACCCCTTCACCCATCAAATTGTACAATCCAATGATTAATCCTCCCCCCACACCTGCACATCCACATCCCTCTGCTTCCAGCCTCTCCCACCGCTCTTGGACCCTTACACTCATTTTACAATAATGGTTTCATACAATATTTATCCTTGTGGGACTGAGTTATTTCACTCAGCATAAAGCTCTACAGTCCCTTCCAACTTAGGTAATAATTTACAAAACCATTGCTCCTGTGTGCTGCATAGTAATCCACTGTGTGAATGTACCATAATTTTGCAATCCATTCTAGAGTACTAAGAGAGATTTCTTCTTGATAGAGAATTCTTAGGTTGTGTATCACTCATTAATAATTGATGAGACAACTATTATTAATATGCCCACTCCTTATTTATCAACCTGGTTAGGTTCCAAAGACTAGATTTCATTGCAAAAATTGGCATTACCTGAAAATGGAAGATGACTATATCAGATCACAAAATGAAGAATGATTATAGTACTACTTTACTGCCAAACCACTGAGAACTCTGGCCCATTCACAGTGACACATAACCTTAGTCATCACAGCCAGTGTTACACTTTCCTGAACCTTGGTGTTTATGTGATTTATAAACATTATATGACTTATAAGTTAATGACTGAATTAGAAAAACAGTCAAACAGTGAGTGAATGAATAGTTATTTACTACTGTAAACTTTAAATGCCAGATAGAGATAGTTAAGTGGGAAGAAATGTGCATCAGTACATCTTTGTCTGGTCTTAGAACCTGTTACACTAGAGCTCTGTTTTCACATAGTGTTTACAGGAAAAGGAATTGTCTTGTCTCTTTTATAAATATTATGTGAAAAAGTGACTAATTTCTATAACAAAATCCACTTCCATAGAGGCATTTCCAACTCACAGTGACCCTTCATTAGGTTTCCACAGTTGTGAATATTTCAAGGAAGAGACTTCCTCATCTTTCTCCCTAAGAGTAACTGTTAGATTTGAACCAACAATCTTCTGCTTATCAGCCCAACATGTTATCCACTATGCCACTCTTCTGTAAATCTCTTTCCTGTAAACAATATGTGGAAACAAAATTATAGTGTAATTAATTATAAGACCAGATAAAGCTATACTAATATGTACATTAGAAGCTCAAAACAGGGAGAAAAAAATCACCATAGCATTGGCACTAATCCTATATTTAGAGACAAAATTTAAGAGCCTAAATGCCAAATTAAAGGCGTTTGACTGTGTGGGTCATAACAAACTGTGGCTGACTCTGAGAAGAATGGGAATCCCATAACACTTGATTGTGCTAATGAGAAATCTATACTTGGACCAAGAGGCAGTTGTCAGAACAGAGCAAGGAAACACTGCATGGTTCAAAACTCGGAAGGGCATATGCCAGGGATGTGTCCTGTCTCCATACCTTTTCA